TGTGTTTTTTTGTTGTTGTTTTTTGTTTTTTTCTAGATACAACTTAGCATTCATTACCATGCAGGCTGCCAGTATGAAACAGATGGAGATGAAAGTTTTTTTTTTTTTTTCTCTGTATTTCAAGTCTTCTCAGGAAATCTATGGAGACTTTTTTGGTGGAGTGCACTTGTTCATTTTCTATGGATTCTTTTGTAAAGAACCTTTGAAGAAAAAAAGAACAAACAATGACTAGCATGGCTTTGATTCATCTAAAGTACATCTGGCTAGTATGAGATATTCATGAATCAAAGATTTGTAGATTTTTTTTCATTCGGGGGTTCTAATGTTTTTTTTGGTTTTTTTTTGGAACTGTCATTATGTGGTGCTTAGTAAACCAACCTGTGAATCTCACGCTAATATGTAGTCTGATGGGTTACATAAATGATTTCTAGATTATTATGGTGATGTGCTAACTGCTGATTTGGATACTCGTAACAGATTTATTTAATCATTTTTTCCAGATAGATTGACAATAAACAAAAGATAGCACTATTATGTATTTTATTTTAATGTTTCTTGACTATAACCAAGGTTGACTTGTTTAGTTTGTTCAGTGAAGGAGACAATATCAAACTGGACTAAAATTGTATGTCGGTATGTAAGATCTGTTTCAATATGCTAATCTCATGACCATGGTGTTGTACCTTTGGGTCTAATCTTTTTAAAAGCTGAAGAGTGGGAAGCAATGCTGCAGAAGAGTCAGTATGTACTTATGCACAATGCCCATTATTTGAGTCTAAATCTTACTTTATGTTATTTTCCATGGGTTTAAGCTATATTCTTTTGCTAATAAATTACAAGTACACATTGGTCTTCAGGTCAATAGCTTGTAAACAGAACTGCACTCAGTCCAGACACATTTTATTCATCTCTGTTTCTCCATGTTAATAGCAAACTTGGATAGTAATCTCTCAACTATCAAATAGCATATCAGACCACTACGTCTTTCTCTTCATCCATTTCAAGTACTCAAGAGTGTTATTTGACAGTCAGAAAAAATGGATTTGTTCATTTGTGCTGCACAACCACAATATTTGACTGAAGAGAAATGTTATTCTTCAGAGCTGCCACATCCTGCAGAAACAATTCAAGTGCCTTGAAAGGCACTGTGTGTTTTTCACTGCTGTCTTGGGGAGCAGATGACACGTTCTCTGACTCTGAGTTGGAGAGCTTTTTTACCAAAGGGAAATCTTTTGAATACCATGAGCATAGGCTGCACCTGTTGGTGGAAAACGCTAGCTGCCTTATGGCTGTATCCTGTGTGACTGATGCTGTTGTCAGTCATGAACAGAAAGAAATACCTTTTAAAATTCATGAAAACTCTATTGAGCTGCAGCTCGGAGCCGTGTGAAAGAAAGTGAATTAAACTGAGACTTGCATCGTCACTTTTGGTAGCCCTTAGACTTTGAGCCATTCTGCATCATTTGTATATCTTGGCAGTTTGGCCGTATAATTGATGCCATTCATTACATGATTGAGGGAGGTGTTTATGTGTGGTGAGTGAAGGTAGCCAGACCATTGCTGAAAGCAATGTAGACTGTAGTGATTGATGGAAAGCAAGGTCCATAAATGCTAGTGTTTGTTTTTTGTTTTCTTTTTTTGCCTAAATGCAAGTGTTACTCTATTTGCCAGCTTCAGGCAACGTCATTAATAAACTTTGCAAATGATTATAGTGGCTTTATTGATTCCAATTTGCCCCCACTATCCCAGTTGCCCCTCTTGATCCATTGCATTGCCTCAGTAAACACAGCCATTGAAACTGTGGACCTGGTCTGTCTCTGCCATCGATCACCCCTGCTGATGTTGGAACATCACATTTTCCTTGTTTGTCTGGTAGCTTAATCCATTCACAAAGTGTGCAGAATGTGGAAACTGGATCAATACAACAGGGAAAAGTGTGTGACTTAATTTTGTCAAACACTTGGGCTGATCAGGATAATGCCAAAAATCATGTGGCACAACTTAACTTGTAAGGTTATGAAAATAAAAAACAGTGAGAGATATCAGTTAAAATAATTTAGGGATCTTGATGTGTATTTTGGGGCTGCACAGTGGCGCAGTTGGTAGAGCTGTTGCCGTGCAGCAAGAAGGTTCTGGGTTCAATTCCCGGCCCCGGTCTTTCTGCATGGAGTTTGCATGTTCTCCCTGTGCATGCGTGGGTTTTCTCCGGGTACTCCGGTTTCCTCCCACAGTCCAAAAAACATGACTGTTAGGTTAATTGGTCTGTCTAAATTGCCCCTAGGTGTGTGTGCGCATGGTTGTGTGTCTGTGTTGCCCTGCGACAGACTGGCGACCTGTCCAGGAACGTAAGCTGGTGATAGGCACCAGCACCCCTCCCGACCCCACTGAGGGACAAGGGTGTTCAGAAAATGGATGGATGGATGTGTATTTTGATATAGGCGACATTGCTTTCTGCCATGACAAATATCAAACAGAACAACACTGATATTTTAATAAGTTACACATCTTTAAGTTCTTGTTCATGTTCTTTGCAGAAAGGGGGCACAAAAAGAAAGAACTCGTCCTCGTGTGTTATTAATGCAAAAATGCCACTGATCCAACATATGTGCTCCCAAATAACTGACTGAAACACAACTGACTCCAACTATTCTCCACAGAACTATCAGCATAAGAAAAAAAAAATAGTGCATTACTTACCTGGTCTTAAAATCTTAAAACCCACATCATGAGCCATACAAGAATATTACTCTGGCCCAGCACCAATGCAGTTCTGATAACTAAGTTATGCATCAACTGGCACCAAACCAGCCTGATAGAATATGCACAAAAAAGTGAGAAAAATAAGATACAGCTAAGTTTCAGCAGCCAATTGAGCTTTTTATTTCAATAGCCTAAGTTTAACTAAAATAATTCAAATAAAATAATAGATACAAGGCATACGAGCATCAGGAAATCAGATGTGTGTGGTGTGGATGTTTAGGTTTATGTTTTGACTAGGAAACATGGGAAGTAAGATTCCCAGAGAGCATCTGTTTTCTAGTAAGGTTTCATCACACAGGATGAACAAAATCCAAGGAAATCCTTACGAACTGTGCACTACCATTAGTGAACTGCATTTAGAGGACAAATGGTTTCATTCTAATCTGCCTCAAAATAGAAGAAATGACAAACAAAATTTCAGCTTTGTGGCGTCCTCCTACCCACTGGCATATTAAACAACTCTCATTTTGCATTCTGCAAACGTTTCACTTTTTTCAACCTTAAAATCTGATTCTATATCATCCCTCCCACTCTTTTCTCCTCCACCTCTTTCTGTTTTTCAACAGACTGTTAAGCTGGTTGTCATTTCTAATGGAAATGACAAACCCTGAGTCAAAGTGACACTGTGTCAAGAACCCATCCTGTGATTCCTGCCAGGCAAATCACTCATGCTTTATTCCTTATACAGAATTAAATTAAAAACCCTCTCCTAGGCCCTTATAACTTCATAAGGGTTTCAATGTAATGTCTTCAATAACAGTTCAATAACAAATCCTGAGAACAACCCAGTGCCGTCCTCATTTGCAGTTTTGCAGAGAAGCCTGAAAACGTCTAGACTTCTATAGTGAATTTGTAATATGCCAGGAAAAAATAGAGGGATTATTTTGATATAACTTAAAATGGCAACACAAAGAAAGTGTGTCTGTTTTCTTTTCTCTTCTTTGAAATTGTCCCCTCTTAATGTATTTGGACAAAAGAGATTTTATGATGGTATCTTTGTCTTTGATGACTGATGGGCAGTTTACCATTTTTATAAAGCTGTCAAAGGTCTTTTTTCTATATGTATGTAACTCTGCCCTAACAGCTACACAAACAAGAAAAAACGACAATGAACAGATTATTTTATTTTAATAATTTCCTTGAAGAAGATTTCTGCTGAGTGGTGTTTATGACTGTATTTTTGTGTTTTTATGATGTAAAGCACTTGTTCAGCCTTGTTGCTGGAATGTGCAATGTGAAACCCAAAGCACATTCATTCATGGCTAAAGTGTCTCTTTCTAAGCCAATGTCAGAAAATCAAACACATTTGGCCTGGAAAAGCTACAGATCTGCTGACATTCCCTTCAGTTAGCTCTCAATGTTTAGCTCACTCCAAATAGTCTGCTTATTTCATTAGGGCTATTTGGACAATTGGAAACCTATTTGTAAGTCCTTGTGTTGCCTATTACTGTATGGAAATTTTGCTCAAAACACACAGTCACTGATTTCTCTTTTTTCCATTGCTAAATCAAATTCAGTTTCCACTATCAAGGTTATTCCAGCATACTGTGCATGGAGATTGGATGTCCCTGACAGACATTGGTTGGTTTATGCCAATGTTGCCTCATTAGCTACCAAAGTCATTATTTTTGCCCCCTCATGGCAGTGATCACCATGCATCAATAAAACAGGAGTGGTTCTGCCATTTCTTTAGCATAAGCACTTCAGGGTCCTTGGCCAGAAGTAAAATTGCCTCCATACTCCATTAGAGGACATAGATAGTGCAGTAAAATAATATTTGTTCACACAAATTCCTTCTCTTTTTTTTTTATTTGTGACACTTAAATATTTTAGATCACCACACAATTTTATTTCAGACCAAAATAGCCTGTGTAACTAAGTAAAAAAAAAAAAAAAAAAGTTTTCAGTTGATGCAGTTTATTAAGGCAAGAAAGCTATCCTAAGCAACCTGTCCTGCTGAGGGAAGGTAATTGCATCCCTTGTTAAATCATGAATTAACAGTGATTAACCACATTTTTAAAACGCTGAGCTCAGTTTCTGCTAGACCTTTGAATTTAGGAAAGAATGGAAACTGTCTGACAACATAATGTAAGATAAAAGATCCCAAAGTGGTATCCACTAAACATATAATAATTATTGTTTTATGAAATTAAGGACAATTATAAAGATGTGAATATATTATTTTTCAGGGTTACAGACTGTGGTTTTGTTTTCTTCTCATAATCTGTTGTTTTCTTTATATGCAGGGTGGTTGGTGCCATTAGACTGAGGTTGGTGATGCTCCTATCAAATCTAGACTGCACAGAGAGACATCTAGCAAACCCTGGAGGTTGGAGAAAGATAATATCTTAAAACACAACATATCAAGCAGATAGTAGAGAGAACCAGGAGGTATGTATCACTCTGCTTAATTTTAAACAAATCTCTGAAAACATTTAATGTTCACGTCAATCAAGAGAAAATTAAATTGCCATCCTCCTCAAATGAAGTCAGTTAAGCATATTTTTGTCTAGAGCTTCTAATCATTTAATATATCCAATCCCACACACAAACTCTTTCATATATGTTCATTTGAGAAGGTTTTTTTAAAAAAGGTTTGTGCTTCTTTTATATTGTCTATTGTGTGTCTGCAAACTCTTTCCAAGTCACCATGAGCCACACTACAGTAGTTCAAAATGAAAGCACTCTGTTTTTATTTGATTAAATCTTTATAATACTGAATAATACAACATGTAAATCTGCTCTAATGACGATTATAAATTAAGCCATTTAGAAACTCTGTCAGAAGCTGAGAAAATCTCATCCCTTGGACAAAAGTGACATTGGTATGTAATAATGAAAATAAGTTGTATGGATTAGTGGGAGAATTGTAATCCAGATTAGTTGCATGAGCACTCCCATTTATAATATTCTCTCATGACTTCTAATAAAAACCCTCCATAGAATAGAGGTAAATAAAGACCAATCTAAATATCATTTAATATCTTATTCTTGCACCACTGCCTGTACTTTTAGTGTAACTTTTCTTAAGACCTGAAATATTACCTGAAAAAAGTGCACTAATATTTAAAACCTTATTTTGATCTGAGTTTGTGTCATTTTACATAAGAACATCAGGCTACAATTGAATGCAACAGCCCACACAACATCCCTCACAACCTAATCCATTGCCATGGATTTCTTTGTACTTTTGATTTGATCTTCACGCACATAATTTGCCCAATTATCTTCCCTGTTTGAATATGTATTATTTCACACTTACATCAGAAAGTACAAGCCCCATGTGGGAAATGTCATTATGTGAATTTACCACACTGCATCCATGGGTGCAGAACAATGTCATGTGAAAATCTGAGCTGGGGAACAGCACATTTCTGTCGGGCATGTCTGAAGATCAGAGTTCAAGCAGCAGTGTTTGCTTTGAGAAATTGACTTTACATTAAGAGCAATGTATGACCATCATGCCCGAAACAGGGCGGGAACAGCTACCAAGAGAAAATTCTTCAGATGATGGATGATTATTCAACTATTAGCTTTGCCCAATTAGGCAATGACAAGTAACTGTTTAAACAAATTCTAACAGGACATATCTGAGGCACTCAGGGGTCGTTTCTGTGGTGTCACATAATAAATAACGCTATAAGTGGCCGACACACCGCACAGGGTGTGAACTCGAGATTAAAAAGGCCATATGGATAGAAAGAGGAACATTGCTGAGTGTGCTGTGATCTCTTCCCTTGGTGACTGCAGTCGTTTAGAGTACAGATGTTCGAAAACCTCCCGGGCTGCTCTGGGTGGAGCAATGTTTTTCTCTCAACCAATCGCTCAACCAAACTTTGAGCTTTCAATGTTTTTTTTTTCCATTAAATCTCCTTGTAGGCTGTTTGGCTTTTAGTGAAGGAAAACTCTGATATTTCATGTTTCTCTGGGACATCAAATTTGAGAACAAATAAAAAAAAAAAAAATGTCTGCATGTCCAAAGCCTTGCCTGCAGAAGCACACTCTGGGTTTGCTCAAGTGTTGTCACATCATTCCCATGAGTGTCATATTCATCAGTGCAATATAATGAATACATGCCCTGTCTAACCCTCACACAAAAGCTTGCTCATGTAAACACCAACGGTTCATGCATGTTTTAATCTGAATTTTAAAATGGGCCTTAACACCGCCCTTGCATCAGTGAACGGCAAGTCTGATGTTTTGGGAAATTTCTTTTTCTGTCCTCATTAGACAGGCAGAGGGGGATGGGAAGAACATGCAAACATGTATCAGAAAAAGTATTCCGGTATTTTCATCAGCTGTATTATCCAAATAAATACACAATCCCAACACCTAATCAATGGAACAAAATCAACTCTTAATTAACTCATTAGGATCTGATAAATACAACATAATAATGATTTCACTCTTCTTTCTTTTTTTTTCTGTTACCAGGAATAACATCAACTCTCTATTGTCTGTTTTCTGAATCTTCAAATAACAAGCCTCGAGCAATTCATCACTGTTGATGCTCCCTGATTTATTTTTCTTTGTTTTGCATTTCCCACATGCACTTTTCCATGCTGACTCCATTTCTAATGCTTGTAATCCTTTGCGTCACACAGGGGTGGCAGTTACTCCATTAGCAAGGATTCTCATGTTAATGTCAGGACGGTCATTGGTTTGTGTGGGAATCTTGTTAGGGCTCTTATCGACATTGAGTTTCATTAACTTGATTAATGATGTCTATTGGGGCAAGCTCCATAGTAATGAACATCTTTGCAGAGATGGGCTGTCTGCAGTCAAAGATGTGCTTCTCTTGCCCGGCCACACAGTTGCTTTCAGAAAGGTTGCACAAAAAAAAAATAAATAAAAAATCATAAATACTGAAGTAGTAGGAATAGGAATACTGAAGTGGACCCCCGATAAACATCAAGAGATTTCGGTTTCTGAATCTATGTTGTTTTCAAAAGACTTTATTTGAAATTAAACATATAAACATCCTGTGTCCCTAGATCTTGAGCATACATTATGTAAGGATATTCCTGCTAACTGTTTTAGTGACACAGGACTTTTAATATTGCTTCTGAGGACAGATCATTGTCCTCAGAAGCAATATATATATATATATATATATATATATATATATATATATATATATATATATATATAAATACACTTTTAAAAAGTCCTT